TTTTTTTTTTTTAGAAAACGGTTTGTTTTTTTTTTTTTTTAGGTAATGTTTTGTTTATTTTTTAGGGAACGTTTTGTGTTTTTTAGAGACGTTATATTTCAAAAATAGGTAAAAGTTTGATCTAATGCGTAAAATGTAGCTTATATATACCAAACCAAAACCGCTAACCAAAAAATTTTTACTATATAATGCTCAAATATAACCTCACATAGATTATTCGGGGTCCTGCATTAGGGTTAGGACTCATTTCTGATCGGTATAGTATAGATTTTAAATTCAGCCCAGATCTGCTCACCTATACCATAACCTTTGTATTATATACATGTATCAAATTAACCAAATAGTGTTTGCTAAGACTAGAATAAAAGCCTAATTTAGAATATGGGCAGATATTAGCAAAATAAATCTGCATAGCTATTACCAGTAATTTGACAAATAAAACATATAAATAAAAAAAAATAAATTGTCTAATAATTTATTAGCTTGAATTATGGACAAAATCTAATCAACCCACAAGTGACTTAGAATCGATATAGAATTTATATAAAATTGGATTACTTACTCCGATACCAATTCATATACCAAATACCGGTCAAATATTTTGGTCATGCTTTAAGGGCAGTGTCATTAATCACCTGATTATTTTTTATCAGAGGTCTATTCCCTCCCTCTTCCTTAATATATATATAGTCAGGTTCTTATATATAATTTCAACTTTTTTTACACCCTTCCCCCCCTAAAAAATCCCCTGATTTTTGTCATTCCCCTAATCGTGTATTAGTCGCAAATAAAAAAACTAGAGACAGAAAATGACATATTCTTTCAATAATTGCTTCAGATTTTATCTATTTAAAAATAGAGAAGCAGTTAAATGCAAGATATATTATTTTTTTTTATATTATAAACTCATAATATAAATAATTCCAATAGATAATATCAAATCAAGATTGGCACTCATACCATAAAAGAGGCTCAACAACATGCACGCATAAATAGTTATAGTGCTCCTTCATTAAAAAAGCCAGTTATTAAATGGTTAAAGTTAAAACCAAAGCAAATAAATCAATTTGAAAATTTTTTTCAAATAAATCAATCATTAATATGAGCTCTTATAAAAGTGACAACAAAACTAGATTGCCCATAATGTATTTGCAAGATCATAAAAAAGCATTAACGATATAGGAGTTTTAATTAAAGCTCATATTGAAGATATTAATTTGCAGGTATTATAGTTAAAATAAGAATTAATATCACATGTATGTAAATTTTAATGTAAATAATCTTATATAAATAGAAAGAATTACAAACCGAAATGCAAAATTAAGATGTTATATTCGTCGTGAATTTTCCAAACAACTCAACATAACTAGTTTAGGAGTTGCAATGCATGATCCATGTATCAGTCACTGTTTTTGTTATGCATTTGGCAATTGTGATCAACAACATTCAATGATTTGTTCAAGTTGTGAAAATTTTTTCAAAATTTCGATAAATTAAAAAAAGCATTACGGTTAGATTTACATAGTTCTATCGAAGAATATCAAAACAAATTGATAAATTGAATAGCATATTTAGCACATAAAACTTATCTAAATGAACATGTTCAAGTAAATCTTAATAGTTTAGATAACCACAGTGCAGTAATAATCGTTGATTTTAAAATGAGAATTCTTCTCCAGCATTCACGTAAGACTAAAAAAGATTTTTATGGAAAACATGGATGAAGTTTGCATTCTGTGTTAGTATATACGAAAGACATTACAAAAAATCAGTTAAATTTGGAAGTATACGATTAATGGTCAGACGATAACAAACAAGATGCATGGTTTACTGCATCTTCTCTACATATGGTATTTGAAACAATAGAGAGTAAGCCCGAATGAGTAACTATTATATCTGATAATGGACCCATTATCATTTTACAGAGTTAATGTTGATATTAAGACACTGAAAAGAATGGTACAATATTGTTCCACAGAATGGATATTTTTAAAGACTGGTGAAGCCAAAACCTCAATCGATTCACACCATGCACAGGTAATATCCAGATCTGGTTTTAAAATAAAAATAGTTTTTAATATTAGTTTGATTGCATATTAGATATCACAAGCAATTAAACGATACGTCAAATTAGGATTTAGTCTTGATTCGGGTAATGATATTGAAAATGCAATAAAAGATATCGCAGGTACTTATGTATCGAATATTACACCAGATCGCCCAGATAGTAAGTAGAATATTATGATTTTTTTGGCTTGTTTTTGTTCTGCAAATACCAGCACTTATTCTATTTTTTTAACGATTATCTATTTATTTGAAAAAAGAAAAAAAAATTAGGAACTATTGCTGGAATTTCGAATTTGCAAGAATGGACATGGCCTACAGATAATGAAAAAATTGGATTTATTGCTACAAGAGTATTATCGGAAATAGGGAATTGGAAGGAATAGTCTCCCACTAATCTAAACAATATTACAAAATCACAAAAAATTGAAAAGCCTAATTCTAACTTGACAAATCATACTCAACCTTATAAACCTTGGACGAGGCCGATTATTCAAAACCAAAGTATAATCGTGCTATTATATATCAAAGATTTACAGTAAAAAGAGAGAACTTATTATTTGATATATAAAATAATTTT